TAATTAAATTACACACATGTATATATATAAAAAAAGTCAAAATGATAGCACTCAAAGGACTGTAATAAAGTAAAAATAAAAACTTTTATTCAGGTTGTTGGCTGGTTACAAATGTCGCCGTTTCAGTTCAGAAATCTGAACTTACTTCAGGACAGTGATACAAATGTTATACTGGGGCGGGGCCTGACCACCAAGATGGATGGACGTGGAGCACTTCAGCTCTCCGATGAATTCCCACTTACCCGCCTAAAACTACCCTTTCTCATCTGAAAAATCTCAAACGGCTGCCAGAGGGCAAAGGGGAACCCGAGCTGCAACCTTCGGTGCAAATGCCAGCTCCCGTCCTGCTGACGGCACCGACTGATGGGCTGATGGGTTTGCGGCGTTACACTATTGGATACTGTACTGATTAATGTGAATCCCTCCCTTGCATGGGAGAATGCTTTATAAGGAGGTTGTGTGGATTAAAAGTGAGTTTTGCTCCTGATGCTGTGTGTCGTCCAGTCATTGGGATCTGTATGGGGATATTTGTGGATTACCTTGCTTGCTGGAATTATTACTTTATGGTATTTTCATTACTTGTTCCTGAGCCTCACTGGGATCTTTAGTGGAGTTAACCTGTGGAATACCAGGCCTCCGCTACATTGGTTGGCAGCGCTGGGATCCAGACTCACAGAGGCACAAGTACCAATGGAGTACGGATGGAGATTGACTATTCTACAATAAAACGCTCCACGCTAAAAGACCTCCTGGAAGCAAGGGGCATTCAAGCCAGCAATATAAAGAAAGCTGTACTTATTACCGAACTAATGGCGGTTCGGTTCCCGAACATAGTGATTCGTCAGAAAGACAGGAACAAATGGAGTTCCAGACACAGCTACAATTTAGGCTGTCTTTTTATGGAGAGAACCCACCGGCAGAGATCATCTCCAAGACAATGACGGAAGTCCAGGAGTTTGTACTGAGGCAAAGGGTAACGACAACTCCAGAACGTAGCTCAGCAGTAAACAGGATAACAGAGGGTAAGCCAAAAATACCTTACCAGGCATTTAAAATGTATGTGGAGGCAGAGGAAGATATAGATGCCTTCCTCCAAGATTTTGAAAGACTGTGTACCTTGCATAACATCAGCTCAGAAGATTGGGTCCCCATTTTAGCTGGACGACTAACCGGGCGAGCAGCAGAAGCTTACCATACTGTACCCGACAAAGAAATTCGGGACTACAGTTGGGTAAAAGAGGTTATATTGGCTCGGTATGCCATCACACCAGAGGCATACCGAAGGTGGTTCAGGGAACTAAAGAAGGTGGAAAAAGATTCCCATGCAGAGTGGGCTTGTAGATTACAGCGGGCAGCTCTCGGATGGGTACAAGCTAACAAAGCACGGTCCATGGAAGACATATTACAAATGCTGCTGTTGGAACAATTTTTTGATGGGGTACCAGAAGATGTCCAGGAATGGACAACCCCACATCCCTCACGGAGGCAGCTAGGAAAGCGGATAATTACATGGATGCTCCCAGGCAACAAAAACCTGTAGTCCTTAAGACCCCTAGGGGGATCGAGCTACCCCACCAACACAACAGCACCACCACGACAACTACCACCCCCACCAGCCACTGCCCAACCGAGATTCCACCAGCCTAGGTCTGTGCAATGTCACCACAGCCAGAAATAGGGACAACACAAACGAAAATGCCCGCAACTCCGAGACCAATCCACCTGGATCCGACCAGGACCACCACCACCACCACCACCGAGAGCAGCAGCCCACTACTACCAGAATGTGATCACGACACCCTATGGCTCAGCAGTTCCAATCACCACCGTGGAACAGTGGGAAGTGCTACACGAGACAGATCCCGTACAGACAAATGCTGATAACCACCAACATCACAAACAAACTGTATACCTAGAGGGTAAAGCTGTGCAAGGGCTCCTTGACTCAGAAGCCACTATAACTTTGGTCAAAAGCCACCTATTCTCGGATAAAGCTAAGACAAGCAAGACTGTAGCTGTCAGGGTAGCCGGGGGAGCAGTATACCGGCTACCTACAGCAAGGGTTCATCTACATTGGGGAGCAGGGTCAGGGAACGTGGAAGTGGGGTTGATGCTGCAATTGCCCGTGGAAGTTTTGGTTGGGAATGATCTGGGAAGGCTCACGTCTGCTTTTGAGCCCCAGACCTCAACCACAGGGGAAGCTCATCCTGTGGTCACCAGACAACAGGCCCGCACCCAGGTCCACAACACACAGCCGGAGGTTCAGGTAAGAGATACTTCCTCTTCCTTAGATTGTGTCCCCATGGGCCCCTCCTAACGAATTTGCAGCAGAGGTGATAACTGACCCTACGTTACAAATATATAGGGACAAGGTCACAGCTGACCCACCCAGGGGGGAGGGCGAGAGATTTATCTGGGATAAGCAGCTATTATACAGGGAGTCAAACAGATAGTCAGGGAGACCGACGAAAGGCAAAACTACACCCCCTACCCCTAATCGAGGAGCCTTTTAGCAGAGTAGCAGTGGATTTAATAGGACCCCTCTAGAAAGCTAGCCCTCAGGCAAGAAATATATCCTGACTGTTGTAGACTATGCCACTAGATATCCAGAGGCGGTGGCTCTGACTAATATCCACGCTGAAATGGTGGCCGAGGCCCTCATGCAGATCTTCTCCCAGATGGGGTTACCCAGGGAGATCATCTCAGATCAGGGTACCCAATTCACCGTGGAAGTCACCCAGCACCTCTGGAAGTTGTGTGACATTAATCCTATCATCAGTGCCCCTTACCACCCCCAGACTAATGGGCTCTGCGAACGGTTCAACGGTACATTGAAACAAATGTTCCGAACCTTCGCAGAGACCCACAAGGACTGGGAGTGATTCCTGCCGCACCTCCTCTTCGCTTACTGGGAGGTGCCGCAGGAGTCCACCGGGTTTTCCCCGTTCTAATTGTTATTTGGGAGAATGGTACGGGGGCCACTAGACCTGATTAGAGAACATTGGGAGGGAGACCGGAGCGCAGACGGCACTCCCATCATACCATATGTGTTGGCATTCCGAGACCGCCTAGAAGCATTGACTAGGACGGTAAGGGAAAACCTTCAGGTGGCTCATACCTTCCAGCGCACATGGTACGATCGGGGCGCCAGGGACTGTAGCTTCCAGGTCAGACAGAAAGTTTTAATTTTAAAACCTGTCCGTCATGATAAGTTACAGGCCGCCTGGCAGGGCCCTTATAAGGTGGTGGAACAGAGATGTGACACCACTTATATAATCGGCTCCTGCGCTGGAACTGACAGTCCCTGGGCTTCTCCAGTAGTTCTCGTGCCAAAGCGGGATGGTACGACCCTCTTTTGCGTGGACTACCGGAGGTTGAACGAGAAAACCGTGTCCGGCGCATATCCCATGCCCAGGATAGACGAACTGCTGGACAGGATGGCCAGAGGCCAGTACCTCGCTATCATTGACTTGTGTAAGGGGTATTGGCAGATTCCCTTGGCCCCGGACGCCCCTAAGTCGGCCTTTGTCACCCCATTCGGCTTGTACCAATTTAAGGTCATGCCGTTTGGGATGAAAAATGCCCCGGCTACCTTCCAGCGGATGGTGGACCGACTCCTAGATGGGTTTCAAGACTACACCTGTGCATATCTAGATGATATTGTCATCTTCAGCAATACCTGGCAGGAGCACTTGGCTCATATAGGAGAGGTTCTAGGCAGGATTAGGGAGGCTGGTTTGACGCTGAAACCGGCCAAATGTAGTATAGGGATGGCCGAGGTACAATATCTGGGCCATCGGGTGGGCTGTGGGAAACAGAAACCGGAACCAGCTAAAGTAGAGGCCATAGCCCAATGGCCCACCCCTAGGACTAAGAGTCAGGTACTAGCGTTTCTAGGGACAGCAGGTATTAAAGGAAGTTAGTCTCCAACTATAGCGCCCTGACCAAACCCTTACCGACCTGACTCGTAAGAACCTTCCCCGCCAAGTCACCTGGACCCCGGAGTGTGAGCGGGCATTCCAACACCTGAAAAATGCACTGATAAATGCCCCTGTCTTGGCAGCTCCCAATCCAACTAAATGTTTTCTTGTTCACACAGATGCTTCTATGTTTTGATTGGGGACAGTACTGAGCCAAGTCGGGGCCGATGGCGGAGAACATCCCGTGGCTTACATCAGTTGTTACCCAGAGAAGTAAGCTACGACGCCATCGAGCAGGAATGCCTGGCTGTGATGTGGGCCCTGAAGAAATTGCAGCCGTATTTGTATGGACAGCCCTTTTCATTGCTCACGGATCACAACCCGTTAGTATGGCTGAACCGGGTGGCTGGGGACAATGCCAGGCTGCTGCGTTGGAGTTTGGCACTGCAGCCCTTTGACTTTAACATTCAGTACCGCCCGGGGAAACAGATTCGTATTCCATACGAATGGAAACTACCGAACCAATAGACCACCCCAGAGAGAAGTGTGTACCTTATTAGACTTCACACTTCTCTAACTGCAGGTTAATTGGTACTTTGTGTATGTATCTGGTTGGCTGCCGTTCGGCATACGAACACGTGGCGGCGGCCATCTTACGCACGAAAAGCTCAGCGGTGTTTGGTCGTCGAGTGTCTGCAACTCAAATCGGACACTCAATTACCCGAACACTGCTGAAACCTCCAGGGCTCCGTAACTCCCGAACGGGAAGGCTAATCAGCCCCCCGTTCGGTAAGTTTAAAGTACCGAACAAGAGAAACATAGAAACATAGAATATGACGGCAGATAAGAACCATTCGGCCCATCTAGTCTGCCCAATTTTCTAAAAACTTTCATTAGTCCCTAGCCTTATCTTATCTTATAAAGAGGATTCATACGAATGTAATGTTAATCGTGGATGGCAATTTTTATGTGTATTTCACCTTCAGAACGGAGACCGACCACAGGGCCAAAACCATAGGCGTGCGCAGCCTATTGCATTAGGGTGTGCACCCTAAAGCACAAACACACGTTGTGTGTATATGTATGTGTGTGTGTGTGTGTGTGTGTGTGCGTATGTATGTATGCATATATATACATCTATCTATATATATATATATATATACACACACACACACACACATACATACATACACTGCTGTATGTGTGTGCTGCATGAGTGTGGTTTGAGGGTGCTGTTAGTGTGATGTGTGTGTGTGTGTATAAGGGTGCTGTTTGTGTGCTCTGTGTGATGGTGCTGTTTGTGTGCTGTGTGTGTTTGTTAGGGTCCTGTTAGTGTGCTGTGTGTGTGTTTGTGAGGGTGCTGTATGTGTGTGGGTGCTATGTGTGTGTGTGAGGGTGCTGTGTGTGGTGTATATGTGTGAGGGTGCTGTGTGTGCTGTGTGTGTGAAGGTGCTGTATGTGGTTGTGTGTGCTGTGTGTAGATGATTGTGGGGGTAAAAAAGAAAAAGTGCACTGTGCAAAGGTGAACTAAAAAAAATTAGGTAAGCTCTAACACCTAAAAAAGTGGTAACCCCTACACCACTTCAGAGCAAATATACATACATACAAGGAAGGTGGAGCATCTAAGTATTTGTCTCAAATTTCTGTAAGACAAAATATTACAGAAAATAGTGCAATACAGTTTTTGCAAATAATAAAAGAAAGTATGGTGATATAGAAAAGAACCCGATAGAAAGCATTAAAAAGAAATTTGACAATTATATTGAGAAAGGGCTAGAAAAAGGAATACTGACTACTAAGGAAGTTCAGTATTTATCTACTGCTTACCTTAAAACACCTGTATACTATCACCTCCCAAAAGTTCATAATAACAGAGATAATCCACCTGGGAGGCCCATCATATCGGGGATAGATTCCATTTCAGCAAAGGTATCAGAATACCTTGACCATCTGTTACAACCTTTGGTCATTTCTAATCCCGCGTACTTAAAGGATACCATTCACATCCTACAGTTAATAGAGAAAGTCACCTGGCAAGAAGGAAATTCCTTAGTCACATGCGATGTAACCTCACTTTACACCATTATACCGCATGAAAAAGGGTTGGAAGCAGTCCAATATTTTTTAAAGAAGAATAATTTTAAAGAGGATCAAATTTTATTCATTTTAGAAGGTATTCGCTTAATTTTAACCAATAATTTTTTTTGGTTTAACTGAACTTTTTATCTACAGATCAGAGGGAATTCGATGGGCACCGAGTTTGCCCCAAGCTATGCTAACTTGTTCATGGCATATTGGGAGGAACAGAGACAAAATGGAAACACCTCCCAATACGTGGTAATATTAAAAATATATACAAATAACCTGAATTGTAGGTCGTGAATCTGTATAAAAATTAAAAAGCTGACATAGCGTAATACAGTATAAATAAGTGAGTGATATGTTAATACAAATAAATACACTCACAAACGAACATGAATTTAGGCTTCTCACCCTCCCAGGGGTAGTAGTATGGTGAAACAGGTCCTCCGTGGAATATATGTAAGAATAAAAAAAATCAAATATAGTGAAGTATGTAATAAAATTACAACATATCTTTATTGGTCTCACTTACAAGTGAAGAAATGTATCAGGCATATCTCCATATGATGTGGAACTTCCAAACAATGTAGATCCAATGGAGCAAGTAAAGTAAAATAAAATAAAATAGAATAAATACACTGAAATAAATATAGCAGCATATAAAAGTGCAGTCCAACGCGTTTCGTCCAGCAAATGGGGACTTCCTCAGGGATGTAGATGTTATGATCCTCCTGGGTATATATAGGACAATGTCAATAATCATCTTTAATTCGAAAAATGCCGGTATCTGTCACGTGAATGTAGCGTGCGTTTCAATAATGGAACGCATCCAGCTGGATCTTGTTCTTGCATTCCAACTGTGACGTCATTTCCGGCGGAATGAGACGCATATTCAGTGCGCATGCGCACAATCAATATGTGCACGCGCGCTGAAACGCACTCACACCGCATAGAATTACCGGAACTTGTAAAGGACAAAATAAAAAAGAGCAGGGCGGAAACACCGCCCAAAAAGCCTCAGAATACCAAAGCAGAGATCAAATTGTATATGTACCACACATGATCAAAAGTACAATACATAAATAGCATATGAAGTACAATCCAACTAAATTGCAAATATTACAAACCATAAAAAGTATAAAAAATATATATAAAAAAATGAGAGGAAAATAATTTGGAATATAATTGGAAATAGGGAACAAACATATAAATAAATATAATTGGATTAAATTAAATTAAACCTTGTAGATCAATTTCTTGGTTAAGTCCTTGGTGCAATGTTTTCAAATTAAAAATCCAAAACGCTTCTTTTCTAATTAACTCCTGTAATCTATCTCCTCCCCTCCAACCTAAATGGATAGAATCTATTCCAAAAGCCTGGAAGGTATTCCACTTAAATAACGGACATGTATTACAGTGTCTAGGGACACTGTGATCGAATTTTTGCTTCCTTATATTATTAAAGTGTTCCAAAATTCTAATGTGAAGTTTCCTGGAAGTACGGCACACATATTGAGCCCCACAACCACATTGTAATAAGTAGATAACAAAGGAAGAAGAACAATGAAAGTGTTTCTTGATACTGTAAATTTTATTAGTGTATGTACTGGTAAAATTTGTGATTTTTTTTTTTTTTGGATATTTACAAGTGGAACACAGTCCACAACTAAAGAAACCAAATATTGGAGTCTTTAGTATAGTATTACAAGAAGGAGTGGAAGGTAGCAAACTAGGTGCCAACTTATTCTTTAAATTACCTGATTTTTTATAAATTACCGTAGGAAATTTTGGTAACATATGTTTTAAAACATCATCCCTTTGTAGGATGTGCCAGTGTTTTTTGAGTATCTTTTCTATCTTTTTTGCCTGAGAATTATATTGTGTTAAAAAGGCAAATTCAAATTTGTTATTACAATTCTGTGTATTGTTTTTATTTTTATTATACTTAGTTTGATTTTTATTGAATCGAACCACTTCATTGTCATTTTCCCCTTGCTTTCCCTTATTAAGTAAGAGAGTTCTATCGGAAAGGAGGATCTCTGCTTCCGCTTTCTCAATCGATTTAAGATTGTAACCTTTATCTATATATCTTTGTTTTATGATTGCGGATTGTTCCAAAAAAACTTCTTTATCCGAACAATTTCTCCTTAAACGGGTTAGTTGACTTTTTGGAACATTTGCAAGCCATGGAGGATGGTGAACACTAGAACATTCGATCGCTGTATTGCAATCTGTAGGTTTGAAGTAAGTTTTAGTTTTTAATTTGTTGGATTCTATATTTTTTATTCTTAGTTTTTAATTTGTTGGATTTTTAATTTGAAAACAATGCACCAAGGACTTAACCAAGAAATTGATCTACAAGGTTTAATTTAATTTAATCCAATTATATTTATTTATATGTTTGTTCCCTATTTCCAATTATATTCCAAATTATTTTCCTCTCATTTTTATATATATATTTTTTTATATATATTTTTTATACTTTTTATGGTTTGTAATATTTCAATTTAGTTGGCTTGTACTTCATATGCTATTTATGTATTGTACTTTTGATCATGTGTGGTACATATACAATTTGATCTCTGCTTTGGTATTCTGAGGCTTTTGGGCGGTGTTTCCGCCCTGCTCTTTTTTATTTTGTCCTTTACAGGTTCCGGTAATTCTATGCGATGTGAGTGCGTTTCAGCGCGCGTGCACATATTGGTTGTGCGCATGCGCACTGAATATGCGTCTCATTCCGCCGGAAATGACGTCACAGTTGGAATGCAAGAACAAGATCCAGCTGGATGCGTTCCATTATTGAAACGCACGCTACATTCACGCGCCAGATACCGGCATTTTTCCAATTAAAGATGATTATTGACATTGTCCTATATATACCCAGGAGGATCATAACATTTACATCCCTGAGGAAGTCCCCTTTTGCTGGACGAAACGCGTTGGACTGGACTTTTATATGCTGCTATATTTATTTCAGTGTATTTATTCTATTTTATTTTACTTTACTTGCTCCATTGCATCTACATTGTTTGGAAGTTCCACATCATATGGAGATATGCCTGATACATTTCTTCACTTGTAAGTGAGACCAATAAAGATATGTTGTAATTTTATTACATACATCACTATATTTGATTTTTTTTATTCTTACATATATTCCACGGAGGACCTGTTTCACCATACTACTACCCCTGGGAGGGTGAGAAGCCTAAATTCATGTTAGTTTGTGAATGTATTTATTTGTATTAACATATCACTCACTTATTTATACTGTATTACGCTATGTCAGCTTTTTAATTTTTATACAGATTCACGACCTACAATTCAGGTTATTTGTATATATTTTTAATATTACCACGTATTGGGAGGTGTTTCCATTTTGTCTCTTTAACTATATGTATTTTAGGTGTTAGTGAAGTACACCTGGGACTTCTCCCTTATATATGGTTTTTCACTTTCACTTGGTATAGTGTGTATACTTTATTATTTGTTTGTATATTGGGAGGAACAGTTTGTCTTTCAAGGCCATCCATGGGGGGCGAACTTGGTGTGCTATCAACGTTTTATAGATGATATATTTTTTATTTGGACAGGAACTTCCATCGATTTAAACGACTTTATGATTTATTTAAATTCAAATGATTGGAATATCGTTTTAACTTCACAGATTAGTAAGGAAATTATAAATTTTTTTAGATTTAGAGATCACTATAATGGACTCAAAAATTATAACCATGAATCACTTTAAAGAAGTAGACGCAAATGGACAGATTAGGAAGGAAAGTTGCCATCATGCTCCTTGGCTTATAAATGCCCCTAGAGGTCAATTTCTAAGGATCAGACGAAACTGTACAAACGACCAAGATTACATTAAACAAGCAAATAAAATTAAAATGCAATTTCTGCAAAAAGGTTATGAAGAAACCAAACTACAGACAACCTTAGAAGATGTCCTCAAAATTCCTAGAAAGAATACGTTGATCTATAAAAATAAAAAAGAGAACACACAATGGGATAATAAAACTGTACCATTTATATGTAGTTTTAATTGCAATAATACAAAAAATCAATAAAGTGATAAATAGGTATTGGCATATTCCGTCTGCATGATG